AATGGCCTGATATTCCTTCTTCTCCTAAATTTCCTTTTATGTCTAAACTTTCTTCTAGTTTCGGGTGTATTTCTATATTTTCTAAATCTTTTTCTCCTATATCTTCTATAATACGATTCATTATTATATCTATTTTTTATGTTAAATCTTTTATAATATTTTCTGTTTTTTCTATATTTTCTATCTTCCTTATTAATTATCACATCCAAACACTAGTCTTTTTTCTGTAAATCCACATATTTCTCTTAAACCTTGTTTTTTTATCCTTTTTAATTTTTTGTTGTACTCTATATTCCTCACATTTTCTCATTAAATATGCTCTTAATACCCTTATTCTTTCTCCTAATGTATTTTCTTTTGGTTCAATTTGACTATATTCTTTAGATACTTCTATGTTACATGGCATTGGTAAATGATCATAATAAAGTTGTTTATATATTATACATTCTTGCGGTAAAAATTTTGCTTCATAAAAGAATTTGGTAAAACTTAGAGTATATTCTGGTAATTTATTAATTTTACAACACTTCATATTATTTAAATTCATTATTATTTCTGCTTTTCTTTCAGCATTTACTATGTCTCTGGCTACAAACCATCTTTCCCCTAGAAATTCTCTTTTTAATACTATGTTAAATATATTTATCATATCTTTCCAGTGTTTAACATGAGCAAAAGCTTGTTGTTTTAGTTCATGATTTATTGATTCTATCCAAAATGCTACCTTTTCAATTAGTGTTTTTGATATTAATTCATAAACATAATCTAAATCTTCTGTATGAGCTGAATTCATTAATGCTATGTACATTCCTAAATTCCAATCATTTATTCTTCTACTAATTTCTTGTTCATCATAAACATTATCTAAGTCTAGGAAATATCCATTTAAATTTAATCCTTGTGACATTGATCCTACAAAATCTCTAAATTCGTTTTGTTGTCCTATTGGTATATGTTCTGGTATTTTTGTTCTTTTCTTAGTAACTAATTCTAAATTTGGGTCTAACATCTCTTCTTCAGGATAGTCATCAGCATCTTCATTAACTATTTCTTCTGTATCAGCTTCTGTTTCTATGGGTCTAGTATATTCTTCTTCCACATCACTTTCCGGTTCATCTTCTATTATTGCATTAATATTTTTCATTCTTCCTAATGCTTCAATAATTTCATTATTTTCTTCTATTTCATTAGAATATTCTTCACCTTCTAATTCTTCTATATAATTTACTATTTTTATTTTGTCATTTTTCTATCATCTTCACTTGTTTCACTAGTACTAGTATTTGTTTTATTTGTATCTGAGTTACTAGAATTTTGCTTATTATCTTTTGCAATTTTTAATTCATATAATTCTTGTTTCAATTTTTCCATTTTTTCCATGATTTGATTTACTTCATCTTTTGTCTGTTTTAATTCTAATCTTGTTTGTCCAAGTTCTCTTTTATTATCTTTAAATTTGTGTTTATACTTTTTATATTTTTTAATCCATTCCTCATTTGATTGGGTTATTAATTTTAAATTTTCTTTCTTTAATTCTTCTATTTGTTGTTGTTGTTTTTCCGTTTGTAGGTTTAATAATTCTAATTCTATTCTTTCTTGTTTATCCAAATTTTTACAATTGTATTTTGTTCTGAAGTACCTATATTTTTATTCCTAATTTCTTTATTTCTTATTGGTTCGTACTTATATCGTTCTTTTTCTATTCTCTTTTCCATGATTTTTAAGAAAAGTTATTACACTGTGTTCGTTATCTGTCATTGAAATTGTACTTTTTTCTGTAATCTTGCTAAATTGTCTATTGTTTTCCCTACCTCTTCTGATAATTTAGGTTTTGTATCTCTAATATCCACTACTATAGGTTCTTTACTCCTTTTCCATACATTTATAGTTACTAATTCTGGGTCTTTAGTATTAACTTTCTCTAGTATTTTGTTTACATTTTCATCTATATTCTGTTTTTCTTTTTCGTTACTAGTAATTAATAAATTCAATTTTTCTAATATTTGTTTAAATGTTGGTATTTCCTATACATTCCATAAATTTGTTAATTCTTCTTTTATCATATTTCTTATGTTAGATTGATCTTCTTTTATTTCATTCATTGTTGCAATTATATTTTTAATTTGTTCTTTTACTATTAATTCGTTCCTAATATCATCTACTTTTTCGTTAAAATTACTCAGTTTTAATTATTCTTTTTCTCCATCCTCATTCAAGAGTTATCCATTCCTTTTTAGGTTTATTTACTAAAGTCTTCAAATTTGTTATTTCATTTTCTAATCTTTTATATTCATCTATTTCTTTTTCAAATTTTAATTGACATGACAGCAAAGTTTTTGTTAATTTTTCTCTTAATTTTCGTATTTTTTCTTCTTTCTTTCTTAATTTGTCTTGAATATTCATAGTTTATTTATAAACCTGGTTTTATTTTGATCTTCTATTTCAATTCCTTCATTTGTTATTTTATATTTTATCATGCTTAAAAAATCACTTCCTAAAAGTAACTCGTAAGAACTATCATATTCAACTACTCCTATTGTTATTTTGTATTCCAAGTCTTGAATCTTAAAATCTTAATTTTGTACATTTCGTAATTATTATTTCCCTTGAATTATTAGGATAGCTATATATTTGTGGTTGTTCTATTATACTACAATCCTTTTCTCTTATTTTACTAATATGAACTAAGCTTTTTGTTGCACCGATATTTATGTCAGTTATACATTCCGTTGTTATTGTTCCATTAAATATTATAGTTTTTATTTTTAGTTTATCAAATTCACTATATGGTGTGTTTATTAAGTCTAATTTTCTTGGTTGTCTAATATTCGATTCTAACCTTGTTACTTCCTTTTTAAAACTTATTCTTGATCCTTCTATTTGTGGTATTATTTTTGTTGATGGTCTTATTCGTCTATTTTCAAAATCCATACATATTTCTTCTGACATTGTTATTCTAGAATTATCTTTGTGTTCTATTTGTTCTAATATTTCTTGATACAAATTTGGTATTAATATATTATTTTCATTTTGTTTTTTAATGTGATGATTTCCTGTTAAAGCATATACTATTTTTGTTTCTATACTTATTACTTTACTTCCTGGTGGCATTATTATTCCATCTAATTTGTAATATAACGTTAATGCTAATTCTTTATGTTTATCTGCTAGTGATATGCTAAAATCTGGCTGTACTGTAAATTTTAGTTTTTGATAAATCAAATTTTCTTTTATAACTGAGATAAGGGCGTCTTGTAGATTTTCTAGTATTCTATCGTCTACTACATAAATTTGTATAGGTGTGTCTATATTTTTCTGAAAATATGCTTTTATAGTAAATTCTACTCCTCCAAAATATATATTTTTTAGCTTCTTGGATTCTTTTGTTGGTAATTTTGATAATTCCCTTTTTATTAATTCATCTGTTAGTAATGATATTTTTGCCTTTCCATTTATTGTAGTTATGTCTATTATATTGTCATTTTTTTGCGCTATATGCCTGATTTCTTTATTTCTTTCAAACCATTTTGTTTTAAAAAATTTCTTTATAGTCAGTTCTTCTTTTTCATCTTGTATTCTGTGATAAGTGTCTACTTTAAAACTTAATGTTTGAGTTACATCTCCTTCATAAGTATTCATTTGATAATAAGTTTCACTATTAATGATTTCGTTTTCCTCACTCATTTATTAGTTCGTTAATTTGTGAATAACACTCCTTTATAATTGCCTTTTGCATCCTTATTGTAGATTCCAATTTTCTTTGCATTTGTAATTTTTCTTCCATTATTTTCCTCTGTTCTTCATAGTGTTTATTTATTTGTTTATCTTTTAATACTAACCTTTTTTCCAAGTCATCTATTATTATCCTTTGTTCTTGTATTATAGCTAAACTATTTTGACAACTAATAATATGTTGGTTTATATCCTTGTTATACATTAATGGGTTTTCTGCTATAAATTGTATTTTTCTTATATTTTCGTCCATAATATTATAATCCTTTTGAGGCTCTGATACCAACTCGTCCACTTGGTCTTCTCATGCCATTGTTATCTCCCACATTTGACACTCTTCTCATTCTCACCTTCTTTAGATCTGGGGTTAGGGACCTTAGGGTACATATAAGTGCCACTAGGGCTAGGCTTACCGTGGGTGGTGCAGCACAAGCGAATAGGGTGCCCAGTTAATCGGTTAGGGTGCCCAGTTAGTGTTAACTGGGGTGGTGCGGCGATAACCTTAGGGTTATCGACTTATCGTTGGTGTGGTGCAATGGCAATAAGTTACTATGGTGTGCAATGGCGACTGTTTTTGCCTAGTAGTCATGGACCGGGTCCGGTCTAGGCCTAGGCCCAGCCGGGCCAAAAAAAATTCAGTGAAGCCCGGGACCGGCCGGGATGTTGACCGGTGCCGGTCCGGGCCGAGCCCAGTTCTGTTTTTTTTGTTTTCTTGATTATTTCATCCCCCATCCCCCCATCCCCCAAACCCATCGGAAACACCCAGCCTATTTAAGCACTGCCCAAACAAAAAAAAAACAGGCCCGAACCGGGCCCGGTCGGGCCGGTTCACATTTAAGCAATCCCGGAACCGGCCCCGGTTTCATCCATCAACCAGGCGTAGACCCCGGAACCGGTACCCAGTTCCCGGGTGGGCCTAAACATTGCCGGGCCAGGCCAATTCCCGGGTAGGGTGGCCCGCACCGAGTCCACCACCACTGCCTAGGGCTTGCCTACGGTTTACCAACTTCTTTTTCAGTCTTATTAATGTCAGAACCTTATACTCCGTATATTTCTCTCAATGGTAGAAAGTTGAAATAGGCTTATTTGAGCAGATTGATTGCAAAATAGCATGTATTTGGGTGCCTACGATGTGGCCAATTGACACATTCTTGGTCATGATATGGGTAGAAACGTAACCACAATGAATATACCTAGTCTGGTTTCAGGATCGGTTTGTCTATGGTAGTATGGTTAGAAATTAGAATTGGGACTTGAGAACCAAAAAATGGAAATAAAATACATTCAACATGCAAGATTTCTATGCACTTATAACGTTTTCCCACATTTGTATTCAATCCCAATGCAGTAACAATCGGGTAAGGGTATGATTGCATTATGAATTGAAAATTAAATTATCTGATAAAACATTTTTTCATTCAAGCAAATGTCTCATCAGTTTTTAACAATCATCAAGCAATACTCCAATAGTGGAGCATAGGAGAAGCTGCTGCTAAAAGTCTGAAAGGAGAAAACCACATTTTCTCAGCCAAAACTCTTACAAGGAATGAAGAAAAAGTAAACAGAGAGTTTCTATATCTCTTGAGATCTAAACGGCATTTCAGTCCAAAGGAATGTCTACCTCTCCATCGGAAACCTCTTGCTGCAATTCCTTCGGATCCTTCCCATCTACTGTGCACCCAACCGACACACACGTCCCGAGAATCTCTTTAACGGTGCCGCTCAAGTCTTTCGCCATGGACCGCGGCCTCATGATCTTCGCGATCTCGATCACATCGTCGAGGGAGATGTTTCCGGAGTGCTTTATATTTTTGACCTTCTTACGGTCGCGCTCTGGCTCCTTCAGGGCCTTGATGACCAGAGCGGCGGCAGAAGGAACGACTGATACCTTCGCTTGACGGTTCTGAACGGTGAGTTTGACGGTGACGCGGAGGCCCTTCCAGTCCTTCGATGTCTCCTTGGCAATGTCCTCGCCGATCTTCTTTGGGGAGAGACCGAGGGGACCGATCTTAGGGGCGAGGGAACTGGCGGCTCCGACCTCACCGCCGGTGACGCGGACGAATACATCGACGACTTGAGATGGGTCGAACTTCGGCGGCATTGCTGGGTGCACAGAGAGAATCGGGCGGCGGGGCTAGGGTTTAACGAGTGAATGGCTTGAGATTGAAGATGATACGTTTTTTATAAATTAGGTTTTTCCATTCAAGGCCCATTATTCTGTAATGTTTTGGCTGCCCCTCCACAAAATGGGCTTTTGGGCGATTTAGTTCGATTTGGGTTAAATAAAACACAGTAAAAGACTAAAGCTTTTCAAGAGTAAATAAGGCGACGTTTGGAATTGATTCTGCTTCTTCTTTTTAATGTAAAATTAGAATGAGTTTTTAGAAACTGGTCTATCTCAGACCCAAAATTTTTTTGATGCTATGACTAAATTATGCCACCAAAAGTACTTCTGCATTTCGACCCAAACACTCCAACTTCTGTTTCTGCTCCTAGAAGGAACAGCAGCAATTTTAAGAAACGGATACAAACACCCCTAAATACTTCGTATTACGTACTACTTCGTAAAAGAGTGTTTACATTCAAAATCTCTAAATTAGTTAACAAAGTCACTCATTTGAATATTAATAATTACAATTAAGAGTTTTTCCCATTTTCAGTCCATCAAAAATCGGTTCAGTCACATTTTTTGTACTCGACTTTCAATTTTTTCATTTTTAGTTTTTGACTATTGTGTGAGAGACACTTTTAGTCCCCGACTTCAATGTTTTTCACATTAGTGTCCTGAGTATTATGAAATTGATATTTTTTAGTCCTTCCAATATGAATTTGACAGTTTGACACAATGATTGGAGGACTAAAAATGTCACCACTATAATTGTTGAAGAACCAAAGTGTCACTTTAAGAAAGTTGAAAGATTAAATGTGGAAATTTTAAAAGACGAGCACAAAAAGTCTATCGCATAATAGTCGAAGGACTAAAGTGAAAAAATCAAAGCTAAATACCAAAAGCGTCTAATGGATTGCCGACCCTGGGGGTAGCCGGAATCTGGGAATGTAAGGGAGAAGATCGGAAAATCTTAAGTAAAGTCGGGTATGAATTTCAGCAGAGTAACAACAAGAGAATTCAATTGCAGGTCCCTTTCCACAAGTTGGAAGGTGATATTTATACTAAGAAGATAATACTTGGTGCCCAAGTAAAAAGATGTTAGTCTAATGAGAGAGTAACACGTGTCTCACCTGTCTAACAGAATAACAAAGTAATCTAATGGGGTGTTGACACGTGTAGAGGTGATTGGAGAGATAACTGGTACAACTAGGGCTGGCAATATCACCCGCACCCGCACCCGCGGATACCCGGTCAATCCGAACCGAAAATATGGATGAAAACCCGAAGAAGTATGGATGAAAAATGGATGACGGGTGGATCGAAAGACGGGATGGATCGGGTGTGGATGAAGGCTCATCCAACCCATCATCCAACCCGTCACCCGTTCCATCCACCCACCCGCTGACCCGCATATAAGTATATAATATATAATATATATTATATCTATTTAATAATATATAATAATAATAATAATAGTTAATTGGTGAAACAAAGATAATTGGAGAGCTTTGTTTTGTGCCGATGCATAAATGCAGTTAAATAATGATGGCAGTTAAATAGCAAAAATAGTTTTGTGCCGATGCATAAATGCAGAATTTAACATCTTGAAGAAGTTTTATGTCTATTTTGTTTAACATTCAGTTTTTTCTTTATCATCGACAGTGAATTAATGATTGTAATATATTTAATTGCTCATGTTTTTGTTGTTATTTTACAATGAATTCTTAATTTTTGGTTTTTAATTCTCATGATTTCTCTTTGTAATTTATTTATTTGGTCTCAAGTTTGACCATTTATATTTCACCCGCTACTCACCCGATCCACCCGATAACCCGTTCAAGATGGACGGGTTGGATGTGGATGTAATTTTTAATGGATGATGGACGGGTGGGTGGAGTATAAAAATTAACGGGTGGACGTGGATGAGCCTCCACCCGGTGAAAATCCGACCCGCTGCCACCCCTAGGTACAACTGGCTGATTGGAACTTCTTGTAACAAACTAGTAACAGAATACATGTGCGGGTTACACGTGTATTACCCGGAATATTCTTCCTCTTTTCCGCTGGGGGTGACGTGGCACTTCCCAAAGTGGTGGTGACGTGGCATCAGCTTGCGCAGTACTTTAATTCAAAAAATGTCTAAGTCCATATATCGTTGGAGTGACCCCGAGCTCCTGGAGGTCGGAGCTCAGGTATTTGCGTTCACTACAGGGGGATCTATCCCTGGTCTTCGGTCTTGTAGCGTTGACTCTTTTGTTGACTTCACTTGACCCTGGTTGACCTTGCGTCAGCCCCAGAGGTCAGAGTTGGGGGCGAGCTCAGTGTGCGCGAGGTCGGCCTCATATTTTGCCTTATTTGGGTGATTCCTGAGCTCGATGTTTTGCCGACCTCGGGGGTTGAGGTCGGCCTCGGCTAAGTCTCCCGTCCTTTATTGATTTTTCGTCTCGAACTTAGTCCCGACCTCGAGGGGTCGAGGTCGGCCTCAGTTGGAACTCTGGTGCTTAAGTATTTTATGACGCCTTTGTGACCTTTGATCGACGATTATGATAACCCTAGGGTCTATGGGAATATACTCCATCAACGTCAATGGCATAATAATCGAATGACTAAAAGTGACAAAACCTCTTACAATTAACTCTGTATTAAAAAATGCCTAATTTATGAGCGGCCAATGACAGAAATCTTATGTTCATTTTTCACAAGTCAGCATCTCTATGAATTTCACGTCTCCCCGTTTAGGGAATTACATTCAGATCTTTGCACCAACATAATCATCTTATCAACTACATAAATAGTCATAGAGTTCTAGGATTATTTCATTCTCTATGTATTTAAAAAACAATTATAAAATTATGTAATTGAATATTGATACACAAGTTTTAGTGGACACCTATCTGGCCAACATATTGTTCTCTTGATAAGATTAAGCAAAATAATGAAGTTGCTTCGAACTGAATTCTCCATCTATCCATGTGTTTCATAGGGTTATGATACCATATCAAACCAAATCAAAACGTAAAATAATTTGAATATATGAAGATCTATTAGCCTATTTATAATGCAGTGAGACATTCCTCAAAATCTTTGGAATGATGCCATCTAGGATAACATAAGAAAACAAATTAAAATTTATGTGTTTTCCCTATTTAACCTTAGCAAATTTTTGGTCTTAAATTTAAAAAAGAAATTCCAAGCAGCATCGATCCGTTCTTGGAAGCTCTATTGCTCTATGCCTCTTCATCTCTAGCTCACTCGTAGCTTCAAGGGGCGCATACGAGGCCGGATAAAAGGGTGGACAGAGGCTTTATCATACAAGTATATGCCAAAGCCTTGTCATAGGCCGGAGGGACATAGCGTCCCGGAGTTTTTTGTAAATAACTATGGAGCATTAGATTATATGGAGTATTTGTTTTTAGCGCCTTTTGATAACTCCTATTTTTTTCTTATCAATTTCATCATCCAACTCTTTTATCAAATGCATAATTTTTTATATCACTAAATTGTGTAGTAATGCAAATAAGGTTTGAGTTATTTCTCTGGTTAGATTGGCTGAAGTTATTGTATGTAGAAGATTGTTTTTAACTATTTTTTAAATTATTTTCCCTTTATTTTATTAATATAATACATTTTAAACACAGTTTGTCCATCATTCAGCTGATTCAGCCCCTTCCAAAAAAATATCATAAATTTCAGCGCATTCAGCCGATTTAACCTATTTCAGGGCACCAAACGAGGCTCTTAATATGATATATAAAATATTTTACAAATCTAGCCTTTAAGTGAGCTAGACAAGTGGTCGAATCAAGGGCCAATTCCATCTTGAGAGGGTCAATGTTCCAACAGTGTTACGAAAGCAATTAATTGGATAAAAGAAATTGATGTTAAGCTGTCACTCAAAATCAAACACGCAACGGGAAAGGTCTCATCAAGTAACGCCCATTTTGCGAGGGATCTCTTTCCCCTCTCTAATTGGTTGGAAAAGAATAATCCACACCCATATAAGAATAATCTTTCCATTTCAAGAGCATTGCTACAAGCTGATAGAACACTCAAATTCTTGAGACAAATCTCTAGAGTTGAATTTTATTAATGATGGCCACATTTATGAACATACTCTTCAACTTGATTCCCTTAAGAATTTCTTTCAAACTATTATGACTAACAGAGTAAACTCACTTTATCTTTTTCTGAACAAAGAATTCGAAAAAACTATTCTCTATTTTTGATAAGTGGGATGATTTGAAGATGAGTTCTAATGGCACATAGGTGGCTTCATGGAGAGGTGCTCATGAGATGATGAAAGCCCCAAAGTCCAATCTAACTGATTCTACTTGGGCAAACTGCAATAATCAACATTCAGAAGCTCTTACATGAGAGGAAATTTATGGTAACCATTTTATTACATATGTTGGGGTTTATTCCTTCAACCCTCGGGTCCAACACGTAAGCCCAATGATTTCGAGTGGATGATTTAAGTGTGTATGAATAATCTGACCCAACAAGCGAATAAGATGGACTAAGGGACTAAAGAAGCAGTAAAGGACCGGCTATTATTAATGATAAATAACGCCCCAATACAATACTTTTGCTAAGGCCGTAGGCCGTTCGTCTTATCCTGCAGTAGAAGAACTGCGAGTAATAAGGTAGAAGCTAGAATGCTAAGAATAATAAGTTGTCAACCCTTTACAATGAAATAAATGCTGCTATTTATACCACCAATGGGCAGTTGGCTATGCTGACGCGGAGGGTTGTGTGTGGCTGGTGTCTCACCCACCAAATCTCCAGCATTAAATGCGCTTCCCGCCAGAATCTGGGTTTCCCGCCTAACTTGTAGAGACGGACGTCCATCTGGGCCGGGGGCATGCTCCTGATGATACTGCAAAAGGCTGTGGGTTGTTCGTATCCTGGCCCTTAGAGGATTTGTCACATAGATTGGATTGGCATCATGTGGCTGCGGTTTTGGGTGGAGACATTCGTCGCCACTGTGTTTGCATGTGGGTTTGATTCACCATTATCCCGCCTGGACATTCGTCGGGGCGGGCTACCTTGTTGGGCTGGACGTTCGTCTGAATGAGGGGGTGAATGGGCCGACCCTCCATTTGGGCCATTAACCCAACACAAGTCCC